AAGGAAGCACTTCCCACACTCTGTGCACTTGTAGGGTTTCCCCCCTGTGTGGCCATCCTGGTGTGAACGAAGATAGGACTTGCCAGAAAAGCTTTCCCCACACTCCTCACATTTATAGTGTTTCTTTCCTCTGTGCCGTTCCTGGTGCTTGCAAAAGTCCGAAAAATACACAAATTCTTTCTCACAGTCCGAGCATTGATAGGGTCTGTTGCCAGAGTGGATTCTCTGATGTCGTATCAGGGAGGCCTTGGTGCAAAAACATTTCCCGCATTCTGGACACTCTTCATTTTTCTCCCTTCGGTTTCTTTTCTTGTGACTCCGAAGAGAGGATCGCGGGGCAATTTCACCCCCACACGCATTGTAAGACTTTATTTCCTGGTGAACTTTCTGGTGGAGCCAAAGCTGCGACTTCTGAGGGAAGGTCTTCTCGCATTGGCCGCACTTGTAATGTTTCTCTCGTGTGTGAAGCTCTGATTTCTGACATAACCACAATCTTTTCCTCCACTTCCGGCATTCCTGAGATCTCTTTCTTCCCTGGTGGATTCGCTGATGGGCTCCAAGGTCCGAGCCTTTAGCAAAACGCTCCCTGCACCCTCCGCATTTGTAAGGCTTCACTCCAGGGTGGCTCCGGAGATGTTTGTCAAAGCTCCAGACTCCAGGAAAGGAGCTTCCACAAAGAAAACACAGGTGGGATCCACTCCCCGTGTGCAGCTTCCGGTGGATCAAAAGGAGGGACCAGTAAGTAAAGGATTTCCCGCACTTGGAGCATGTAGACAATCCTTCCTGGTTCCTCTGAGGGGAACTCTGCTCAGAGGGTTTCCCCCCATGCATGGTTTCTGGAGGCTGCTCAATTGAAGGGCTTTGCAGTCCAATGTTTGGTGAGAGGTTGTTTGTTTGTTTTTTTCCACGTAGCTCCTGCTGGACGAAGGGAAAAGAAGTGAAGGAAAGAGTTAGATCCTTTCTCTTTCTGAACCCAAGTATCCCAAACAATAGCTAGGACAGGGGACTCCAACCTTGGCAACTTTAAGCCTGGCGGACTTCAACTCCTAGAATTCCCCAGCCAGCAAAGCTGCCAAGGTCGGAGACCCCTGAGCTAGGAGATCCCTTCCATGAGCCCTGGTAAGATTCCCAAAGCCTCCCCCCACCTCAAAGCAATGCTGGGATCCTCTTCGGAAAGATCCCCCTTCCCCTTTCTTAGCAGGAGGGGAGGGATGGCTGACAAGAGTCTCTGTTGCTCACCTTTTGCCTGACTGAAGTGGGATAATCTCCATCTTTTCCTTTCGTTCCTTTGGGGTTTTGTGCGTGTGTGCGTGTGATGCAGATAGTATGTGAGATCCACTGTAATAACCCGCACAGGACTTGCATGTATCCATACATGTGGACAGTAAATCCTATGTAGATATTTGTGGACATTGTTCTTTGTTGACACAGATCAAGATGGCCGCCACCTAAAATGGCTTCCCATGGTTCCTTTATGGTTTAGGGAGGGTGTACAGGAAGTCCTTGACTTACAACCATTTGTTTAGTGACCAAAGTTACAACGGCATTGAAAAAGAGACGGAATGACGGGACTTCCGGTTTGTCGGCTTCGCGAGCGGCAGGGATTTGCGAAGCTGCGCGATCCCTGCTGCGCTAGCCGCTTTTGGGGCTCCGATCCGGACGGGTACGGAGCTAGGCTGCCCTGCAGGGGCAGCTGAAGGTAGGGGGGATCCGGAGAGGGGTTTGGGGGTGTTGCAGACCCCCTCCCCGGCCGGCAGAACTCCCTTTTCCCAAGACGGTGCAGCGGCGGTCCGTAATGGCCGCCACAAAGAAGCTGGCAGCCGGGTAAGAATGCGCAGGAGGAAGTGGAGAAAGTTTTTGAAAGGAGAAAGTTTTTCTTGGTTCCTAGGACTCTAAGACATATTTAACAAAATTCCTGAAAAGTATGACTTTCTGAATGATACCTTCTAGAAGAGGAAAAAAGCGGCAGTTTGGTGGTGCTGAAAGGAAAGCTTACCCTCCTTTCCTACAGAATAAATAAGTGGATATTAAGAAACCTATTTTTTTTAGGGTGAAAACTGGCTTTAAGCGATGAGTGGGAAGGGAGAGGACTAAAAAAATATATATTGGTATGCTAAGACTGTTGGAGGAGATGCCTTAAGGATTTGAAGACTAAAATATATTGCAATAAGACTTTAAGAAACAGATTTGGACTTTCTTTGTCTCTGATTGATACTACCCCAGAAGGAGAAAGTGAGAACTCTGCCTTGGTTTGGACTGATTGATAACTTTGGGACTGTTTTATTTTTTCTTTGGAATATTCTGGTTGTTGTAAGAAGAAAGAAGGGGAAAAGAAAAGAAAAGATTTATAATGGCTCTTTCTATTGAGGAACTGAGAAAAGATTATGAACAAGCAAAAAAAAATGGTAAAGCTGGTTTGAAAGAAGCCTTCCTTTTTTTAGAAATGGCGCTTATTAACTATCAACAAACATTACAACAGATGAAGACAGCAGAAGAAGAAGAAGGAAAGGAAGCCATTTTTAATAAATCTCAGAACTTGACCAAGAAAGAAGTAAGAGGGAAAGGAAGAGAAATAAAGGACTTAAGATTTTAAAAAAACACTTAAGAAAGGGAAAAATAAGGTGCAAAATCAATATAATGATAGTAAACAAAGGGAAAAGGAACACGACAGAGAAGGGAAGCCAGTAAGGCAGAGGCTAGAAGAAGGGGGGGTAGAAAGGTTTGTTGGGAGAAGAAAGGAAGGGAAAAGGTGGAGAAAAGCTACAAAGTTTTGAAATTAAATGGGAAAAAAGGAATCTTTTTTAGGGATAAAGGATAAAGTATAATTTCTTCAAAAAGATTTTGCAAGGTACATAAGATGATATTGTAGTATTGTATTAGAAATAGAAAACTTAAATGGTTTAAGAGTTGATAAGAAATTAAAATGGTGAAATGTTTAATAATGATTGGTTTTAAAATTTAATAATATGAGGGGAGGTTTAGAATATTGAGTTTTAATTAAAGAGTTTAATAAGATTATGGTATTGATGTTATTATAAAATTTCTATTATAGTATTTGTTTTTAATATTTAGATTTATTGTTTAACTATGTATTTAATTATTCTGGATGTACTATTTAGATAGAATGTACCAAGCAAAATCGGATTGGGTATTGGGCGTTATTTTAAAGGTTAATTTGATTAATTTAGGGGGGAGATAGAAAGGCATCATACTCTGATTAGTGATTTCAGGAGAAACTTCTTTTTTTTTTAAAGGAACGAGACAAAGGGACAATAAAGAATGGAGAAAAGATACAAATATAATGACTCAAATTAAGATGATTAATTAAGATAGAATTAAGAAGAGTGAAATATGTGGAGAAGTTAATATAAAAGACTTAGAATGGTAAATAAAATAAGTAATGATATGTAAGATGAGCATGAATATAATTGAAGTCCATGAAGAGAGAGATACCTGGGTCCAAGTTACTTTCCAAAAAGATTTTTTTTATGTTTTGTGTGTTGTGTGTATATGTTTTTTTTTGGGGGGAGAATTAATAAAACCTTGCAGAAATATAGAATGAGAATAATGGTAACTAAGTCAGAAAGAAATAGATGAAATAATAATAATGAAATTGAATAAGAGTAAAGAGAAGTAAAGAGAAATTGGATAAGAGGTTTTTGTATGTTTATATGGAAATGGTTTAAAAGAATTATAGTTCATCTGACTTGTTAAATTTATAATGGAAAAAGGTTTAAACATGTAATGGATAATGATGATTTGTGTGTTTTGAAAATTAATAAAACTTGTTTTAAAAAAAAAGAAAGAAAGAAAAAGAGACGGAATGACCAGTTTTCACCTTTTGTTCTAACCTAGGCTTCCTCAGAAAGCATAAAACACAATCTTAATCCTGGCAAGACCTCTTTTATTTCCACGTTCATTCACAGCCTGCACGGCTTCACAAACAGCCTTTCAGGGGAATGTTTATAAACACCCACCTTATCGCACTTGGAATGTGGCCAGAGAACTAATTGCCAAATGCAGAGCAAGACCAAACTTGACACAGAGTCAAACAGAACTTTTCAAAGCTTGAACCGACCAGACAAACTCACATCCCGTTCGCTCCTCTTTTATGTCCTATGGGAGGGGCCAATCATCTCCAAGGTGCGGGCTTACTCCCGAGTCAACCCTGCTTTCTCAATTGTTCTTGTCCTCTGGTAGGTCTGCACATGTGCAGGCTGGCAACTGGTTCCAGAGACTCCTCCGCATCACTGCTGTCTGAACCTGAAGGCAGCTGATGACTGCCAGCCTGCCCTGGCCCCATTGCTGCCTCTGATGCAGAGCCCTCCTCCGGGCCTTCCTCAGCCTCCAGAACCGGCTCGGGTTCCTCCCCAACCTCCTCACTACTGTCCCACTCTGCTGCCAGCTCTGTCAGCTGCCAGCGGGCTATAACACTTTCGTCCATGAAGCATCCCCACAGCCACTTGATAACTAGCATGTATTTTTGAGGGTTTCACTGTCTTGGGGTCATATGTTCCCCTTTTGCAACCTTCCCAGCCATTTTCTGACCAGGAAAGTCAATGAGGGAAGGTGTCAGGATTCCGGCAGTCACCCCCATTTAAATCATGAGTCTTGAGCGAAACTTCCAAAACTTCAAAAGGATTTATTGGGAGTTAAAATCTGGCACTGCCTGGGTGTAGCCAACTCTGAGGCACATCATTCATTGTCACCCTTGACCCTGGTTTTCCCTCCACCCCCTGGGTGTATCGTAATTCATATTCTCCAATGGGACACATCCATAGCCAAGAGTCATCAATCATGCTCTCCAGTTAAAATTTTGAGTGGCAGAAACTTCAGTCACCTAGTTACTATCTTTGAAAAACTATTTATGGAATGCACTTTCGGTTTGCACGCTGCCGTACGTCTCCCCCCTCCCTTTCTGTTGGCAACTCTAAAAAAGACCATAGAAATATTTTATGAGTTGACAGAAGGCAGATTCATTTGATGAATGCCATGATTTATTTTAACAACTGTGGCAAAAAGGGCATGAAATGAGGAACAGCTCCCATAACAACTGAATCACTTAGCATTGGTAATTTTGAGGTCTGTGGTCATAAGTCGAGGACTAACTGTACAGGTAGTCCTCCACTTATGACCACAATTGATCCCAACATTTATGTGGCTAAGTGAGAAACTTGGTAAGAGAATTTTGCCCCGTTTTATGACCTTTCTTGCCACATTTGCTAAGGGAATCACTGCAGTTGTTACATTAGTAACACAGTTGTTCAATGAATCTGGCTTCCCCACAAAAGGTTGCCAAAGGGGATCATGTGACTCCAGGATGCTGCAACCGTCATAAATGGGAGTCAGTTGTTCGGCATCTGAAAGTAAATCACGTGATCATGGGGATGCTGCAACGGTCGTAAGTGTGAAAAGTGGTCATAAGTGTCATGCCCTTGTTGGAGTCTGATTCTGAGGGGGAGATTGAGCAGCTGACAGGGAGTGGGAATGTGGCTCTGGTGGCTGTGGAAGAAATGGGGGAAGGGCACAGTCCGGCTGGGCATTCAAAAAGACCAGGACCATCCCTTCTTCATCCTAGGGCACACAGGGAGGAATGGAGAAGGGAGAAACATGGCCTACGGGAGAGAAAAGGGCCCTGATCCCTTTCATTAGTTGCAGCTGGGAGAACAGGATATAAGAGGGGCGTTTGCACACAGCTCCTTACTGGAAGCAAAGCATGCATTATCTTTGTCGCGGCTTATCTGGGTTTTGGCATCCCCCCCAACTGTGGTTGCTGCGTTATTTTGTGGAAGTCTGCAATTTATCATCCTGGCCTGTCGTGTTAATTACTT